GGGCCTTCTATCTTCTTTTGGTTCCTCCAAAACCTAAAGAACAAAAAACAAACAGGAGTCAGTCAGTTGTAGCCATTTGCACTGCGCACTTACTGGCATGCTCATTGAAAAAAGGGAGGAATTGTTCTTTTATTGTGGGTGCGGTGATCCTGCTTCTGTGCTTGGAGATATTAGCGCTTATATCATTATAACATGTAATATAAAGTTGTTTGGGATTGTTTGTATGGATGTAACTGATGTGTTTTTCATTCACTTAAGAGCAGCTAAACCAGCAGCTTAATGGCTCAGACACACAGCCATGCAGCAAAATGTATCAACTGGTCTAACATCATTTATCAAACTAGCTAGCATCAGCTGTGGTACGCAGCTTGACATGAGCATGACATTAATTGCACTAATGGTTCTCTCAGTTAGTTCTTAAACCAAGAAAAAAAAATGTAATTCACGTAACTAAGCAGGTGAATCAGCAGATCAATGTGACCGTGTGCATGGAGGCACAGCTTTAAAAACCATTTAATATCCTGCTCTGATCAGCTAAGACTGGTATTCACACTCAGACGCTTTATTAGGTTCACATTAGGGCTGCTCGATTATGGCAAAAATGATAATCACGATTATTTTCACTGAAATTGAGATCTCGATTATTTGACGATATTTATTTAACCCTTTAAGACCTACTATAGAACCAAGTCCGACAGAGCTTATATATATTATTTTTTTACATGTTGTAGTGCCATTTGTGGGAGCATTTCAAGTTGCTATACAACTGTTATAGCCCATATTTTAATAATATCTATGTATCAAGTCCACAGTAACTACATTAATTGCAAAAAAGTGCAATAAACTACAAAAATGGAAAATCGTTTTTGTTTTTTTTACATATATTTCTACTTGGAGAAATTTAAGAGGCTTATCCCTCAAAACGTTAAATACAAAAAAGTTGCAAAAAATAGTTTACAACAACAGGAAATTTATTTTGAGTGTCTTCATAGTGTTATTTTGGAGATACTGCAGGAAAAACAAAAACAACAATCCTATGATGCAAATTTGCAAAGAAAACAGCAGGTGCATCAAAATAAACTATTTCCAGCAGTGCAATTCGAGTTCTAAGCATCTCAGAAACTATTCAGAAAAGTCAAACATGACCAGTATAGGCTTTTAAGGCCTACAAGTAAAAAAAAAACCTACATTTCCGCGAAAATGACGTCACTTCCGGTTTCGGCCAGGAAATGGCGGACATGTGATCGCGCTGACGTCTGTTACACTGTGGGAAGTGTTACGAACAGCTGATCGGATCGGCAAAGCCTGTTTCTGGAATATTATGTTTTTGTTCCTGCAAGCGCTTTTTATGCAATTTTTGCAAAGCTATATGTGGAACGAAACCGTGACCGAGGACAAGCTGATGGCATCAGATGTAAGTACAACTCCTCCGGTTTCATATGCAAAACAAATTATTGCGCTAGCTTACACGGTTCAGGTTCTACAGGGATTTAAAAATAGTTACACAAAACGGAGCGTGCTGCTCTGACCAAAGGGTTAACAATGACTTTAAAAAATAATATAAAATAGTGTGCAACACCACTGAAGTTTTTTTTACCTCTCTTTTCAACCAACGGCAGTCACTCTCCTCTCCAAATAACTTCTGCTTAGCTTTCCGAGCTTCCCTCAGGTCCTCTTAATCAGCGGTCCCCACCCTTTTTTGCGCCACGGACCGGTTTATGCCCGACAATATTTTCACGGACCGGCCTTTAAGGTGTCGCGGATAAATAAGGGAGGGGCTGATAATCGGCTCAGTCATTTTTAATGATCGTTGAAAACCCAGATCGTAATCGTGATTAAAATTCGATTAATTGAGCAGCCCTAGTTCACATGTTCAAACTGCTCGTTAAACCAGGTATCTAATCAGACAGTTACAGGCTGAAGTTCAAACCAGCAGAAGACCACTCCAAGTTTTACACTACAGCTCACGTGAAGACTGGAAAAACCTGCGTCTTGATTTCTGCTGAAACGTTCAGAAGGTAGAGTCAGAATTTGGCATGAAAGCACAAATCCACCCTTGCTTGCATTGAGGCTTCTGGCAGTGGCGGTATAATGGCGGGGGGTATTTTCTTGGCACACTTTGGGCTCCTTACTACCAACTATCAATATTTTTACGCCACATCTTACCCAAGTTTCTCTGTGGGTCTCATATTTCAAATGCATTAAAATTACATGAGCAGTAATTTTAAAGATAGAAATTCAACGCTCTAAATCAACGTCAGAATGGTCATGTCTGCTTCATTTGTCATGAAATAAGAAGGGACCAGGTCTCACCTGGCCCTGAAAGTACTCATCAATTCTTCCATTAATTTGGACTGTCTATAAAACTGTCTGTAATGCAAATCTTGGGAAAACCCTTGCAATTAAAGCTGAAAGTCTGCATTTCAATCATGAATTGATTTTTTTTTTTTAATTTACAATCCACTGTGGTGGTGTACAGAGACCAAAAAAAGTGTCTTTCTCCAAAACATTATGGCGTATGACCACAGAAAAGTTCTGATGGATAGGATTAACACGCTATATCGGAAAGATAGGACAAACTGATTTCTTGGACAAACCGTGTCGAGCTGACCCGGATAGGTACTAATGGAAAAGGGCTATAAGAATCATAAAGGTAGGTAGGTAACATGTGCAAACTGTTTCTGTGTCCCTTCTAATAAGATACAGTCTTGGTACCTGAAGTAATGCGTGTCCCGGAAGAGGGAGGTTCTCTGGCAGGTCTGTTAGTGTGAGTGGAGTAGTTAGAATTGTAGGGCTGGCTCCTGCAGAATACATGAGATGGAACACAGCATGAATATCCTGAAGACAGGAAGGTGAAACATAAGGCCATAGTCTCCGTTTTCCATTATTCTCTCTCCTTCCACCCCTTTACTAACCTCCGACCACCAAAAAGATATCCAAGCAACCCGCCTGTTCCCATTCCAGTCCAGAAACCACCTCCTGTGCCGGGAGCTGCCTGGCCTCCTGGGTACTGGTGTCTGTGAGTGTAATCACTGTGGAAACCATAACTGGGGTTGGCTCCAGGGCAGTCTGAGCAGAAAACAAGAACTGATCAAAACTTTTTTTTTCATGCAATGCAGCCTAAATTACATAAAATAAGACTCGTCTCATTTCTTTAGCACCAAATCGCAACAGCAGTCACCTCAAGGTGCTTTATGTTGTTCAGTAAAGACCCTAAAATAATACAGAATACAAGGTCCGCTCTACCAAAAGGATGTGCTGCTTTGACAAATGTGCAGACCACACCGTCTACATCTCCGCACGTCGTCATTTTGCATCAACTACCTGTGTAGTCTGGTTTGAATCCTGGTGGGGGTGGTCCACCCATGGAGCCATGGTAATTGTGTCCAGAATGTGTAGCTGGTCCACCATCTTGCCCCCCAGTGGTGTTCCCACTTAGGAACAGTTTATGGATGCCATAGGCTAAGAGCAGAAGCACAGCAACAACCAGCAGTCCTCCTGAGTCCTGAGTGCCTGCAGTGTAAGAGCTCTGACGGTCATGCTGCTGCCCATATTCTGATGAACCAGTAAAGAAACTGGAGGCAAATCCCCAGAGATCTGACAGACAAAACAACAAAGAACATTCTTAAACAACTAATCCTTGTGTAAAAATGAAAACCTGCATCACTAATCCTCCTACCTTTAAACCCACCGCGGGAACCCCTACTACTGTGAGACCTCCTCTGGCCCTCTTCAGTCAGTTCCAGTGTGTACTCCAGCCCACAAGACCCTTTCAGTATGTAGGCATCAGCAGGGTGACTGTAGCCCTCACAGCTCACCTCAATGTGACCAAATCGATGTGTGTTGTCCATGTCAGTCCTACACTCCCACTGTGACACACAGCAGAACAAGAGACACCCCATCAGTCTAAAATGTATTTAAGCATAACAAGTTTGAGGGTTACTCATACACACGGTACAATACCTCATTTAAACTTCACTCTCACCACTTAGACATTCTTGCATTTGAACTTAGTTTAAAGAGACAAAATAAAAGGAAAATGTGAGGTCTTCTATTTTGCAGGTGTCCCATATCTGTCAAGGATGAGATTCCCCACACAAGTTTCTCAAATCTTGCTCAAGTTTTGAAGTGCAAAATTTCAGATTAGAAAAAGTCCCAATTTAATTTGTCAGATTTTGTTTTTTTTCATGAGCAGTTGTGCTGACAAGATTAAACTGCCTGAATGTGACAGAATGTGCCCGTCAACACATACATATTACTGAAATTGAACATGCAGCCCATCCTACAGCCAGTGGTGCCAAAAAAACATGGAAACAACAATAAAGATTAAGGCTCAAACCACCTCTCCTCGTTGTCGCCTGTAGAAATAATGTCCTTGTAGTTTGGGTTGGCCTACCACTGTCTGAGATGAACATTTTAATATGCACAGCACACACAGGAGTCATTTCTTCAAAAATTGAAATAAAGCAGCTGAATCAGTCCTACTGAGCTCATTTCACACAGTACAGCACCAGTAGGTCCCTCACCTGCACATCGACTCCATTCCAGCCTTTATTCACACACTGGACCACCTCTGGGACGAAGGCGTGGCAGCCCGCTGACCCTCCAACACACTTGAGCTGAGGGATCGGGCTAGAGCGCCTGGCTGTGGTGTACCGGTTCCTGTACAGAGTCAGTGCCTGGATGTCCCGCAGCAGTACACTGCCTGCAGGTGACAAAAGGCAAGGGCTGATTTCCACACTAGGATTACACAAATCACAGTCATGTCGCTTTAGACACACTAAAGCTCTTCTTCGGGAACAAACTTTGACTCGTTAGTCCTGAATCAACCAGCATTTTCTGTACGCTGTTCTTTATGACATCATGTAGTGCCATACTCATCATATAACCTACCATTGCTGACAAACATGCATGCACAGCGTGTTTGTCACTAGTTTGTGGTGTATTTCCTAAACAGGGGAGCATCTCGGTAACCAGTGTTGTGCCAAAAAGTGATTGTCTGCCAAAAATTGATTTCCAGTGTTTCCCTCTGTTTTTACGTGTAATATCTTTACATATGTTGGTAAATAGACTTTGGTGAACAGGGTTTACGAAGGGGTTATATATAATATCTAAAAATTACCTGTTTTTCAAGTATCTTTATAACGTCCTAGTATTGTACCTACATTATAACCAATCTGGTCCTTTTTGTCCACTTAAAATATGTTTATATTAGGGTTTTTTTTTGTTATATTTATTGCAATTTCTGCGTCCTCTTTGTCAGATTACTCTTTAAAAAAGACATTTTTAATGTCAACGAGATTTTTTTTTAACTGGATAAATAAAAATAAATAAATAAAAGTCACGGCCAAAGACTGATTGCGGCTTCTAACTTGTGACAGGAGCGTTGTTTGTGACTTGATATCATTTATGGGGGATACATTTGACATGTTACAGATCAACAAGTTATTTATATCAGTTGAAATAGGAACAATCCGTTTTTGGCAAATACCGGAAATCAGTTTTGGCAGGCGATCGCTCAGTTCACCGGAACTGAAGAGCAGCGTAAAAGAAGCGGACACTAAACGCCAACCCACCGTCATCCCAGCTGTCGGTGTGCCGCGCACACAGGAGCAGCAGTACACCGGAAAAAAACACCTTCATGTCGCGTCGTTGTTTCTCCAAGAGCCTTCACACACACCGCCTCGATAAACACACCCGAAGACTCTGCTGCCGATACTTCCGTGTTGCGTCACCTGTTTTTCGCTTCCTTGGACCAATGAGGAACGTGCACGGCTGCACTGTGGCACCTCCGTGTGTTTGTGAGAGAGAAAGAGAAAAAGGCAGGGGCAGTTTGCTCGGGATAATGACGGCAAAGCTCCGGCACATGTGTCAAAACAATCAACACTGCTTCAGAAACTGTCGAGGTTCAGGTCTTCTCAACAGAGTCACGTGATCAATGCCGTCCATCGTAATCAGAGACATGGAGCCAGACAAAAAGAGGATGCTCTGCCTATTCCTAAATAAAAAAAAAACAGTTCATAAGCATTTCTGATCCCAGGTCTAAAGTCTAGATAAGAAATAATCATAGTTATAGTTATAGAAGGTATAGTATATTTCAAGGGCGTAGATTTGGCATGGACGGAAGGGACATGTCCCCACCAATATCCAGCGATTATTGAATTGTCCCCACCAATAATTTGATCTCTTCGAGTAAAGAAAAACAAACCCGATAGAAAGAAAAAAAACATCTGTCGACGTCTCATTCACCCAGCGGTGCAGAAAGAGTTAAATTACGTCCTCTACTGGAGTCCTAGTCATGTGACAAATATGGCCAATGTGATTGGCTGTGCCTTTCAGGGAGCTCTGTTTAGTTTTAGCAGCGGCAAGCCTGCGCTGCGAGGAAGACGGCAGCAAAAAGGAAGAACCTGGATATAAGAAAGTATTTTTCAAAGAAACCTGTAAGTAGTGATGGGCAGATGAAGCTTCATGAAGCACTGAAGCTTTTCATCCAATTGGTTCACCCCAACGCAAAGCGTCTTGAAGCTTCATTTGCTCTAGTAGGACACCTACTGGACGTAAAAATATTAGTTGGCATGAATTTGAAGAGTGTGGCCTTTTGCACACAGCCCGTAAATGTCAACAACAAAAGGAGTGTGTAAAACATCTATATTGTAGTGATGCAGTACACTGTGTATATTTATACTGGCAGTATGGAAAATGATCATTTGGAAATGCTTAAAATGGAAATTATCATTTACTGTGAGGTGTGGTTGGGGTGTGGACAGTGGTTGTGCTTTTGTAACGTTGAGGTATGGACAGCTACACACTGAGCCTCAGTCCTGCCTGTTCACATTTTATTCTGTAAAAACTAAATTTTCACTGCTTTTATGACCTTTTTAGTGGGGAGAACATAGCTAGGATTTAACATTTTAACAAATCTTTTGAATCCTTTGTCCTCCACAATGCTAAATGGCTGGGAGTCCTCAATCACCATGCTGACCAGGTCTTCATCTATTTGAAATTGTTCTGCTGAGGAAAGACAATAAAGACAAAGCACAAATATAAATATCACACACGTAACTTATAACAGCTGTATAATATTGTTATATCACTTAGTAACATTACTGCATGCTATATTATCATGGCATTTGATGACTCACCTGGTCTTGCTCCACAATCAGTGTTCCCCTTATTCTCATGCAAACCTCTGTAGTGCCTAAGCATGGATGAGGTGTTGTTGTTATATCCCAGCTCCCTGGCACATAGCAAACACTTCACCTTGTACAAAAGTAAAGC